ATACTGAACTACATTCCCAGTCCTGTTTTAGTTTGAGACAGTGTCTTACTAAGTTGCTATACTTGCCAGGCTGTGCTTGAACTTGTGATCCACCTGCCTCAGCCTCTCTGAGTGCTAGAATTACAATTATGTGTCCTATACCTGGATCTCAGCTTTCCAGCTACAAAAGACTCCTGAAATAGAAAGGAACTGATACCAGACCCATTTGTGAGTAAGCCAGGTGAATCAACTTTGTCTATGCTAGAGAATCAACTGCTTGAGAATACATGACTGTGGCCTTAAAAATCTGTCTGAGAGACCCCTGCAAAAGAGAGGAGGTGAGCTGCTCCCAGCGCACAAGAGGACGCTTCCAGGCCACCATACCACCCTTGCCAGCACAGGAGGTGAGCCACTCCCAGAGCATAAGAGGAGGATTCCGGGGCACCATACCACCTCCACCAGCAGAGAGAAAGTGAGCACTCCCTGCGCACAAGAGAAAGCTTCCAGGCCACCGTACCACCCCCGCCAGTACAGAGGCGGTGAGCTGCTCCCAACACATAAGAGGAGGTTTCTGGGGCGCCATACCACACCCACCAGCAGAGAGGAGGTGAGCCACTCACAGCACACAAGAAGAGGTTTCCAGGCCATTGTACCACCCCCGCCAGCACAGAGGTGAACCCCGTGGGTGATAGCAGCACCCCCTCACATCAAAATGAGAAGACACGTAAACAAGTCTCAAAACCAGACTTCCAGATCATCTACAGCAACCCCAAAGGGAAACGAGATGGAACACTCTGATACTCAACCACCTGGACTCCCTGAACTGGCAACAAAAGAGGATCTGGAAAAAATGAAATCAGAAATAATTTCTCACACAACAGCAGAGATTGTGCCCATAGTGAAAGACATGATTCATAAATCTAGAGAGGAGCTGAGGAACAGGATGGAATTCCAACATAGGAAAAATGGAATCCATAAAACAGATGCAAACAGATTTCCAGGAGATTAAAAACTCCATCGAAAGTCTATGCAGCAGAATGACCCAATGTGAGGACAGAATTTCAGATATAAAAGATAAGACTGCAATTAGTGACCAGGAAAAAAAATTGCTTTAAAAGAGTAAGGGATCATGAGAAATCAATCCAGCAGTTGCTAGATGATGCAAAGAAGAATAACATAAGACTGATCGGAGTCAAAGAAGAAACAAGAGAGAGTGCAGATGACATTAAAAAAAACTGTTCACAGAAGTGACGGCAGAAAACTTCCCAAGCAGAGGAAAAGAACTTGACATACAGATAAGTGATGCATAGGACTTCAACTATCCTTGATCAAAAAAAATCTGCATGTAGGCATATAATTGTTAAGACTCCAGAAACCCATCAGAAGAACAAAGTTCTATAAGCAGTTAGAGAAAAGAAACAAATCACATACAAAGGAAAGCCCATCAGAATCACAGCAGACTTCTCAACACAAACCCTCAAGGCAAGAAGAGCTTGGAATGATATATTTCAAGCCCTAAAAGAAAACAGCCTCCAACCCAGATTGATGTACCCTGCAACATTATCTTTCAGAACTGATGGAGAAATAAGATACTTTCATGACAAAGAGCACCTTAGGAACTTCGTGAATACCAAACCAGCACTCCTAAAAATTTTAGACAATATCCTAGGAAAAGACAACGAGGATCACAACCCCAGGAAGCCCAGCAGAATGAATCTGTCTGGCACGACAAGAAATTAAAAGCAAAGGGGGAGAATCCAACAAACAGAAAAAGTCACTACAATGATAAGTCAATATGTATAAGTTATGACCATCAGTGTTAATGGTCTCAATTCACCATCAAAAGAAATAGACTGGTAGAATGGGTCAAGAAGCAAGATCCAACAATATGCTGCATACAAGAAACACATTTAATTCAAAAAGAAACTCATAGTCTAAAAGTTAAAGGGTGGAAAACAATACTCCATGTGACAGGAACCCGAAAAAAAAGGGAGGAGTAGCTATCCTCTTTGCATATCAAGCGGATTTCAAATGAAAATCTGAAACACTCTGGTCCCAAGAATTTCAGATAAGGGATACTCAACTTGTATGTACAAATCTATTGTGAATATGTGTTTTCATTCCTCTCAAGTAAAAACTTAAGAACAGGACTGTTGGTTCTTAACAGTAATACAAGCAATTTCTATATTGTTTTCCAAAATGGTTTTGTCATTTTACATTCACATTAGAGTATTAGAAAGTTCTAACTGGTTCACACCTAAGCTGACATTTGTTCTTTTAAAGCTTTTAACTTCATCTCCCTAATGAGTGTATAATTCAATCTTGTTATGGTACTGATTAGTATTTTTCTGATACTAGTATTGCACACCTTTCCTTGTGCTATACTGGCCATTTATCATCTTCTTGTGTCTACTTTTTAATTGGGTTGTCTATTAATGAGCTGTAAGAGTTCTTTATATATTCTTGTCATAGGTTATATGCATTATAAATATGGTCTGTTTAAGGACTACTTTTCATTTTCTTAAAGATGTCATTTAAAGTTCTAAAGTTTGATGGAATCTCATTTATCAATTTCTGTCTTTTATACATCATGTTTTTTGTATCCTAGGGAGTTCTTGCCTATCCTAAATTCATAAACATTTTCCCTTATAATTTCTTCGTAAAGTTTTGTAGCTTTAGTCTTTCATATTTAGGTTCATAAATTTTTTCAAGTTATTTTTATGTATGGAAATAAAGGGTTGAGGTTAATTTTTTATATACGGATACCAGGTGTTCTAGTGCCATTTCCTGAAAACACTATCTTGTCCTTTGCTCTTGAATTGAGTTTATATTCTGTAAAATGTTAATGTTAAATAATCTTTCAAAACTCAGGGGGCCATATATGTGTGTTTCTATTTCGAGATTCTGTTTTATTCCAATGATCTATATGTCTTTTCTTACACCAACACTGCCTTGATTACTGTAGCTTTAGAAGAAGTCTTAAAATTAGGTACTAAACGTCTTCCAACACTGTTTTTTTTTTTCTTTTCCTTTTTACTTTTCTAGGTCCTTTGTACTCCTACATAACTTTTAAATTTAATATCCAATTCTTCATTTATAGCAAGTATACACAGACCTGAATTTGCATACATACCTTGTGTTTTCTAATCCTGCTAAATTCAAATACAATTCTAGGGGTTCCTAGAGATTTCTTAGTATTTTCTCTGTAGATGATCATTTCATCTACATAGAAAGATTTTGCTTCTACCTTGC